AGGTTCCTGCAGCACCTTTGGGAGTCCCTGTGTCACTTTTAAGGTTTCAGCAGCAATTTTGGGGTTCCTGTGACACTTTGAAGGTTCCAGCATCAATTTTGGGGTTCCTGTGACACTTTGAAGGTTCCTGCAGCACTTTTGGGGTTTCTGTGACACTTTGAAGGTTCTTGCAGCACTTTTGGGGTTCCTGTGACACTTTGAAGGTTCCTGCAGCACTCTGGAGCAGAACTGGATCTTTCCTTGTCTCCCCTCACCCCACCCCGCAGGGATGCTGCGCAAGCTGCGCATCCGGCGCGAGGAGGACCTGCGCGCCGTGGTGGAGGTGGCCGCCCACCTCTTCAGCGACGGGGTCACCAACTGGGGCCGCGTGGTGACCCTCATCTCCTTCGGGGCCTTCGTGGCCAAGCACCTGAAGAGCATCCGGCAGGAGCGCGGCATCGCCTGCCTGGCCACCATCATCACCGACAGCCTCGTGTCCTCCAGGAGAGAGTGGCTGGAGAGCCAGGGGGGCTGGGTGAGTCCCTGGCAAGGATTCCTGAATTGGGGCTGGGGGAGCACGGGGGATGTGCGGGGGGAGGGGGGGGGGGGGGTGAAATGGGGCTGGGGGAGAACGGGGGATGTGCAGGGTGAAATGGGGCTGGGGGAGCAGAGGGGATGTGCAGGGTGAAATGGGGCTGGGGGACTGGGGGAGCTCAGTCTCATGTACTGGGCTGAAATGGGGCTGGGGGAGCACAGGGGATGTGCAGGATGAAATGGGGCTGGAGGAGCACAGGGGATGTGCAGGATGAAATGGGTCTGGGGGTGCATAGGGGATGTTTTAGGCTGAATCGGGTCTGGGGGCATTTGAGGCTGAATTGGGTCTGGGGGTGTTTTAAGCTGATTTGGGTCTGGGGTAGCACAGGGGGATGTTTAAAGCTGAATTGGCTCTGGGGCCGTTGGAGTCTGATTTGGGTCTGGGGGAGTTTGAGTCAGAATTGGGTCTGGGGGAGTTTGATTTGGGTCTGGGTCTGATTTGGGTCTGGGGGTGTTTGATTTGGGTCTGGGTCTGATTTGGGTCTGGGGCAGTTTGAGTCAGAATTGGGTCTGGGGGAGTTTGATTTGGCTCTGGGTCTGATTTGGGTCTGGGGCCCTGCCCCCCTCGCTGCCAGGGCGGCTTCGTGGATTTTTTCCGCCTGGAGGACCTGGAGGGCGGCGCCCGGAACCTTCTGCTGGCCTTGGCGGGCCTGGCCGGCCTGGGCACCGGCCTGGCCTGCCTGCTCCGGTGAGGCGCACCTGCCAGGACCTGCCGGGACCTGCAGAGCTGCCAGGACCTGCCACAGACCTGCCAGGACCTGCCGGGACCTGCCGGGACCTGCCACAGAGCTGCCAGGACCTGCCGGGACCTGCGGAGCTGCCACAGAGCTGCCAGGACCTGCCGGGACCTGCCAGGACCTGCGGAGCTGCCGGGACCTGCGGAGCTGTCAGGACCTGCCGGGACCTGCCACAGAGCTGCCAGGACCTGCCACAGAGCTGCCAGGACCTGCCGGGACCTGCCAGGACCTGCGGAGCTGCCGGGAGCTGCCACAGAGCTGCCAGGACCTGCCGGGACCTGCCACAGAGCTGCCAGGACCTGCCGGGAGCTGCCGGGAGCTGCCGGGACCTGCGGAGCTGCCCAGGACCTGCACCAACAGAGCTGCCAGGACCTACCGAACTCCCAGCACAGCTGCCAGGACCCGCAGAGCTCCCAGCAGAGCTGCCAGGACCTGCAGAACTTCCAGGACCAGGACCCGCAGAGCTGCCAGGACCTGCCAGGAGCTGCACTTTTGAGAGGACTGACTCCCAGCAGAGCTGCCAGGACCTGCCGGGACGCTCAGAGTTCCCGCAGAGCTGCCAGGACCTGCCCGGAGCCCTTTGGGCAGAATTTCCGTTTCCCTCCCGGTTTTTTTCTTTTTCTTTCTTTTTTTTTTCTTTATATTTTCTTTTATTAAGAATTTTTTTCTTTTTTGTTTCTTTTTTTTCATTTTTAAAATTTTTTTTCCTTTTTTTATTTTTTTTAAATATTTTTCATTTCTTTCATTTTTCTTATTCTTTTAAATTGTTTTTTCATTTTTCCTTAGTTTTTCTTTTTTTCATTTATTTTCATTCAATTTTTCATTTTTTTCATTAATATTTTTCTTTTTTTTTATTTTTTCTTTTTTTATTTTTAATTTTTTTTAATTTTTTTCAATTTTAATTTTTTTCTTTTTTTAAATTTTTTCATTTTAGTTTTCATTTTTTCATTTTAGTTTTCATTTATTTTCATTTTTTTTCATTTCTTTTCATTTCATTTGTTTTTTT